TTCTTTAATACTTATTGGTTCTTTATTTCCCATACCAAACCTTACTTTAGCAGATATGATAGGTTTTATAATCTTTCTTTCTAATTTTTCACGAGGTGTAGGATTAGGTATAGCATCCATTTGTTCAAGCATTATTTTATCAGCTAAATTTCTATTCTCTTTATCTGTAAAATGTTTATAAGCAAGATCATGAATATAAGCTGTTTTATCAACTCTATCTACAGGCATGCTCCATTCTTTAGGCATCTCAGTAGAAGTTAATCTTTCATCTAAATTAGTACCAGGTCCTGCAAAGTTCATACCTGGTATATGCATTTCACCTGGAAACTTTTGCAATGGTAATTTTTTATTACTTGTGAATTTATTAATAGATTCTACCAAATCACCTCCTTTTTGTGCTCCTTTTGTAAATTGACATTTTCTTGTTCCGCAGATTGTACAATTTCCACATTGCATATTTCTTTTGTTTTTACTCACAGCATGTTGTAAGTTGAGTGTATCTGTTTTGTTTTTACATTTAACGCAATACATTTTTTATATATGTATTTTAATTTATTTAATTTAAAAAATACTTTTCGTAAATAAAAAAATGGAAATTATAGATTTATCATGGAATGTAAATAAAAGTAAACGTCAAAATAATGAGTTATTACCTAAAAGTATAAGAGGGATTATTGTTGGAAAATCAGGTTGTGGAAAAACAACATTATTATTAAACTTGCTATTAAGACCTGGTTGGTTAGACTATAATAATTTACAAGTTTTTGGAAAATCTCTTTTTCAACCTGAATACAAAATATTAAAAAATTCTTTTGAAAATAAATTACCAAAAGAAGTTATTCTTAAACTATTTGAGTTGCAAGATCAAATAAATAAAAACAATGTAAATCCAGAGTTTGTTATTAAAGACATTTCAAGAAATTTAAAAGATAAAACAGATATAGAATGTAAATTTTTTGAAACAGCAGAGGATGTACCAGAACCTGAAAGTCTCAACTCTATTAAAAATAATTTAATGATATTTGATGATTTACAATTAACAAAACAAAACAAGTGTGAAAAGTACTATATAAGAGGAAGACATAGCAATGTAGATTGTTTCTACTTGGCACAAAATTATTTTGAGTTGCCTAGGAGAACGATAAGAGAAAATGCAAATTTTATATGCTTGTTTAAACAAGATTCTAAAAATGTAAACCATATTTATAATGATCATGTTTCAAATGATATGAAATTAGATGAGTTTAAAAAGTTTTGTAATGAAGCTTGGTCAAAAAAGCATGGATTTGTTGTTATAGATTTGTCTTCTGATTTATTAAATGGAAAGTATAGAAGTGGATTAGATTTATTTTATTATCCAACTTCATTGTGGAATCGATAAATATATATTTTTTAAAAAATATATATTATAAGATTTAGCAAAGCATTGGTTCTTTCAGAACTTAGCGAAGCCTGGATCACGAAGTGATCTAAAGAAGATAACCTAAGAAGGGTATATTCTTAAATGGAGAATTTTCTCCTAATAACAATCCTCTACCTACTGATGAATAATCATTTCCATTTCTTAAATAATATCCATCGTTTGAATAATTATAACTACCATTCCATGGGTTTAAAAATACACCTTTTCCTACTTTTCTAATTTTAAATCCATAACCATTCTTTTTTCCATAAATAATACCATTTCCAGCAATTTTATTAACTATAGCATTTCCAGCAGCTGCAGCTGTTCCAGTCAATAATCCTGTTGCAACAGCTGGAGCTGCTGCTGCAGCAGCTTTTGCAAGAGTTGCTCCAATTAATGCTAGAAAAGGTAAAAATCCACCACTTTTTTTAATATTATGTTTAAGTTGTGCTCTACTTAGTGAAAGCGTTATACCCTTATTTTTTAAATATGCTGCTTCCATTCTGTTTATTTGTGACTCTGTTAAAGCTAATTTGTGTTCACCACTTAAATCTTCATATGTTAGTTTTATACTAGCATTAGTACCAGATTCAATTGCGTTTTTAATTTTCTCTTTCTGACTATCTGAAAGATTGATAAGAGTATCATAGTATTTTGTCATTTTTTATATATAAAATAATTTTTTTAATTCACTTTAAGTTATTGCTTTCTGTAATGCTTTATACTCATCATCATCTATTTGCCCCTGTCGTAACAACTCATCACAAATAGCAACAATCTCATTTCTTGTTCCAGTATTTCCTGCTTGTAAACCAGCTAAGCGTAATTTAAGCATATCAAATAGTGCATTTGGATCACTAGGAAGAATGACAACTCCTTTTCCAGACTTTCCAATCATCTCTTCCCAAATAGGTTTTATTACACTAGTGTACTTATAACCTTTAGATGATCTTGGTTTAGCTAAATTTAAATCAGAGCGAATTGCATCTGTTTGATTTAAAATTTCTTTATACTTATTACGATCATCGTTAGTATATCTAACAGGATGAGATTTTACTATGATTTCCCAAAGACCAGGTGTACCAGTGTATTTTTTACCTTCAATAATTATATCATTACCTTCAATAGTTATTGGTTTTTTACCAATGTAAAATTTTTCATTACCTTCATTGTAATGTATACCAAATATGTCATCTGATACTTTTTTACTATTTTTAGTAGTATATAACTTTAAATATTCTGTTGCGATAGGTCCTAATCTCATGTTATCTACAACTTCAGGTGGCATGATTGCTTTAGTTTCAGAATCTAGTAAAGCAGGATAATTTGAAAAAGTATTTGCTATTTGATTAGCTTTATTTTCTAATTTAGATATACCTTCTTTTATTCCAGATTGACTATCTATTATTGGTTTGTACATTTTTTCCAAGTTAGTCTGTAAAGCATCATAGCCTAACTTTTCATTAATAGAATCTTGATAAACACTTTTCTTTAACCCATCAAGTTCTTTTGCTATTTTTAATCTTGCATCAATATCTGTAGCTTTTGCATACATTTTTATATATGTAATAATTTTTTTAAATCACAATGTGATCCCTAGATCCCTAAAGGGATTAAAATCAACATATATTATGTTTTTAATACATAATATATGTTCAAGTAATACATAATATATGTTCAAATAATACATAATATATGTTCAAGTAATACATAATATATGTTTTTTTTATTTAATTCTTAAGAGTATTATTCATCACTCCTATATTCTGATTTTTGTTAAATCTCATATTTAGCAATTCCATAGTTTCTTTCATTGCTTTCTCTTTACCTTGATTAATGAGTGACTCTTTAGTCTGTTCATCTATATCATTCTTAGATTTTGTTCTAATTTGTTCAGTCATAGCTTGAAACTTTTCAAGTTCTGAAAGTATCATATTAAATTCTGCATCATCAATATATTGATCTGATGTAGCTTTAGAAATAAGACTACTTATTGTATTTAGTTTTGCATCAGCTAGTACTTTAATCTTTTCATGCTTTTCTGCTTTTATTGTTAATTTTTTAATAGCTTGTGATCCTATTAGTGATAATACACCCATACCTAATGCTGCACCTTCACATGCAATAGCTACTGGTGTTCCAACTATTGTTGTTAAAAAACCAATACCAACAGCTCCTAATGTCATAGTAGTTGCAAGTAATATATTATCAACTGCTGAAATGATTCTTACAGCTCTGTGATATTTTTTACTTAAAATCTCTCTTCTTTTCCTTTCACATTCTATTTTATCTTGAATTTCACTAATCTTTTGTAATCTAAAGTTATGATCTATAGATTGTGGTGGTGCAGATGGATTTTCTGAAAACTGGTTAAGATCTGGATAAAGCTGCTTACATTCATTATTATATCCATTATTACATAGCATTTTCTTTTTTCTATAAAGAAAAATTTGTTTTAAATCACTTTTGTTATCAATGCTTCGCTAAATCACTTTTTACCAAAATTAAATATATCTTCATCAGATTTATCTATACTAGGTTTATCTTTAATTACTTCTTCTATACTTGATAATAAAGATTTTACAGATTCTTTATCACTTTTCTGGTTAGTTCCTGAGTCATTTTGTTGTCTAATTTGTTCTTCTTTAACATGTTCTAAAGCATCTCTATGTGATATATAATTTGCATTTAAAACACCATTATAAGTTGATATACAACATAACAAATCTCCTTTTTTAATGTTTATATCTTTTTTATCGTTATTATATACAGTTATTTTAATATCGTCAGTAGACTCTGTTACAATAGAATTTAGTAAATTTAGTTCTGGTTTATAATTTTCTGCAATTGAAATCACTATATGTCCTTTATCTATTTCAACACCACACATTAAAGAAATGTTATTATATGAATTTGATTTTACTGTAAAATCTTCTTGTGCGAATACTTTAATATGTCTATCATTTATTGCTCTATGTTCTAAATCTGAATTAATATTAAAAGTTATTCTATATTGTTCATGCTTTTCATAATATAAAAACATTCTACTATTATACATTTTATAAATGTAAAGATTTTTTTTAAATCACTCTGTAATCCTCATATCTATTTTGTTTTTAAAGTTCTAGCAATATAATTTAAAATGCTTTCACCTTGATGTAAAAAATTACACTTTTTATTATTAACATTTTTATATATTAATATTTTTTCTCATTTTTTATTTTTCTTTAATTTACTCTCTACTAATTTACATGGAGTATAATGACAAATTTCTACATTTTCTTCAATTTCTTTAAAAGAATGAGCATATTTGCAATTTATATTTTTACATTCTTTTTTATCAAGAATATATTTACATAATTTAGTTTTAGCTTTTCTTAATTTAAATAATTCTGACTTTTTTGGATGAAATAAAACACACTCTTTATTCCTACATTTAGGGTATTCAGAACATAGAGATAAATGTCTATATTGACATGAAGATTTAGTGCATATGAGTCTTTCCTTTACAGTATTACAATAAGGAATATCATGATTGTATTTACATTTTCTTCCAAAAGGACAATAATTATCATTTAAAATATTTTTACAAAAAATGGGTAGTTTCTCTACAAAATGAATTGTTGAAGGTTTTCCATCTTCAGTAAAATTAATATCTACATTAAATGGTTTTTCAAAACTAAATTTTCTTTTTTTGTAATGTTTTTTAAAAGAAGTATTATCTATAGCAGGATAATCATCATTAATAACATTATAAGTTGGAATATAATTAATCCATTTCAGCTTATCTTTATGCAGCTCCATGATTTGAACTGTTTTTAAAGGAATTGGAACTATAGGTTTTTCTTTAACTTCATCTTCATCATCAGATGTAAAATAAGTAGCTTCATCAGATGTATAATAAGTGTCATCTTCAGAATCTGATTCTTCAAATTCAAATTTTAATATTTCTTCAAAAAGTTTAAATTCTTTTTGAAATTCAGATATTTCATTAATCTCATCATCATTCATTTTTATTTTTATTAATTGTAAAAAATATTTTAAATCAAAAAATTAAAAATGATTTAAATAAATTTCTTTTATATAAAAAGAATGGAAAACGAAATGCAAAATTCATTTTTAAGATCAATAGAACAAAGATTAAGATTAATAGAAGAAAAATTAAATATTATTAATATTCATGATATTGAAATGACTGAAGATTCTGAAGTTACTACAATTACTACTACTGAAGTTACTGAAATTACAGAAACTACTGAATATGTTAATGAAGATGATGAATATAATGAAGATGATGATGAAGATGAAGATGATGAAGATGATGAAGATAATGAAGAAATATTAAAATATGTACATGAATTAGGGTATAAAAGTGCAGAAGATGCTTTTGATAATGCTGCAGAAAATGGTCAACTTGAAATATTAAAATATTTGCATGAATTAGGGTATAGAGGAGACGAATGGACAATTGATAATGCTGCAAAAAATGGACATCTTGAAGTAATTAAATATTTGCATGAATTAGGGTATAAAAGTTCAAGATATGCAATTAATTATGCTGCAGAAAATGGTCATCTTGAAGTATTAAAATATTTGCATGAATTAGGGTATAAAGGTACAAAAGATGCAATAGATAATGCTGCAGAAAATGGTCATCTTGAAGTATTAAAATATTTATATGAATTAGGGTATAAAGGTACAAGATATGCAATTAATTATGCTGCAGAAAATAGTCATCTTGAAGTATTAAAATATTTACATGAATTAGGGTATAAAGGAACAAAAGATGCATTTAATTATGTTGTAAAAAATGGTCACCTTGAAGTATTAAAATATTTACATGAATTAGGGTATAGAGGAGACAAATGGACAATTGATAATGCTGCAAAAAATGGACATCTTGAAGTAATAAAATATTTGCATTCTATTGGATATAAAGAAAAATAAGAAGCAAGAAAAAGTCACGTGACCTATGACGTCATGCAAGAATTTTTCGTAACATTTCATAACAAGAAATAAAAATTAACACTTATTTTAAAAAATCAATTTTTTAAAATAAAAAATTATTTCTTGTTGAAATAAATTATATACAATATGGTTCAATGTTAACCCAATATTAATATTAATTTATGGTTGAAAATTTGGTTGAAAATGAAAATGAGCAAATACCGGCAATCTCTTACTACTTTCAATAACATCCAATATATATGTGAAAGAATGTATGAAGAAAAGACTTATACCATTTGTTAGAGAACATCATAAAGATAATAATTTTGTGTTTTGGCCAGATCTTGTAATTGCTCATTATGCTAATAAAACAGAAAATTGGTTTATTGATAATTCCATAGAATTTGTATAAAAATGCACTAATCCTTCAAATGTTCCAGAGGGTAGACCAATTGAAACATTTTGGGCTATTTTAAGTCAGATGGTATACAGTGATGGTCGGAGAGCACGTAGCATATATCAACTAGTTCGAAGAATAAAGAGCAAATTAAATGAAATAAAAGAAAATGATCCAGATCTGTTACAAAGACTAATGATGAGTGTTAAAACAAAATTTAAAAAAATCGCTGATAGAGGCGTCTATTCAATATGTTAAATATATTAATAAATACTAGAATGTTCTTTATTACCATATAGTTTCATTTTTTTTATCTAACCAACAATATTTTTTTACGACTCTATAAAAAAAGTTCGAAGACTTATGCATAACCCGTTATAATTACTCAGTTGAAAATGTTTAACAGTATGTCGCTGGTGGAATACTAAATTATTATAATAAAAAATGTTAACTTTGTGGTATGTATATATATAAGTTAAACTTTTATATAATTCATGATTAAGACTTTATTATTATTGTGTATATACACAATAAAAATCCCAAAACAACTGTAGGTTTTGAGATGCTGAGACAGTACAAAATTAACTTCAGAAACATAAATAATATAAAATAAGTATTTTATATTATTATATGTTTCTGAAGTTAATTTTGTATTATGTCTTAGCATCTCAAAACCTACAGTTGTTTTGAGACTTCCATTATATGCATAGACTTATTTTTCAGTTTTGCCTAGAACTATTAGTTAATTTTGTTGTATATTTAAGTGTTGCAATTAAGTATTACTAGAAATATTTATTAAAAACAGTCTAAGATTAAATTAACGGTAAATTTATTATGGATTTGAACCTAATTTTCATAAAGTGACCCTAGGTGCAGTCCAAAAAAAACTTATTGTTCTAGGGTCACTAATTTTTAAACCCTTCTACTTGATGGAATTTTATTAGTATAAGTCAATATACTTATATTTCGCCATTTTTACATAAACTTCCTCTAGACCTCTTGCTTTAACAAAACTTAGAAAAAAAATGTATTATTAAAATTACTGATTGTTAAAGTAAATATAGCGACTAGCTAGCTTTATAGCGATTTTAGAGCGATTTTTGTTTTCTTATTTAATTTTTTCGTTAAGTCTTTAACATCATTGAAAATTCGATTTTTAGTGTTGGATCTATTATAATTATGAAAATAATTGAATTTTAAACATTGCGATATTGTAACGATATATCGCTAGCTATATATCGCAGTTTTTTAGTCAGCGATTTTAATACGATACGACACTAGCTAGATATTGCATTTGTTTAGCTGGCAACTAGATAGCAATATAACTATAGCTATTCAATAACTACATATCGCAGCTTCTTAGCTATCGATTTAATTACGATTAATCGCTAGTTACGTATCGTAGCTTTGTAGCTAGTTACAAGATAGCCACAAATCGATAGCTAGTTGATAGCTACATATCGCATTTTTTTAGACAGCAATTTTATTACGATTTATCGCTAGTTACATATCGCAGCTTTGTAGCTAGCTACAAGGTAGCCAAAAATCGATAGCTAGTTGATAGCTACATAACGCAGTTTTATAGACAGCGATTTTATTACGATATGACGCTAGCTACATATCGCATTTATTTAGCGCATCGTAGCTTTGTAGCTAGTTACAAGATAGCCACAAATTGATAGCTAGTTGATAGCAACATATCGCAGTTTTTAGATAGCGATTTTATTACGATTTATCACTAGTTACATATTGTAGCTTTGTAGCTAGCTACAAGTTAGCCACAAATTGATAGCTACTTGCTAGCTATATAATGTAGTTTTATTGACAATGATTTTATTACGATTTATCGCTAGTTACATATTGTGACTTTGTAGCTAGCTACAAGGTTGCCACAAATCGATAGCTACTTGCTAGCTATATAATGCAGTTTTATTGACAACGATTTTGTTACGATTTATCGCTAGTTTCATATTTGTAAGCCTTTTTAGCTAGCTACAAGGTCGCCATAAATAATGCTAACAATAATTGAACTTTAAAAGTAAAGATTTTATTACGATATGTCGACAGCTACATATCGCAGCTTTTTAGCAATTGATTTGAATGCGAAATGTCGATAGCTGCATATAGTTGTGATTTAGCTAGCTAGAAGATAACGAAAAGTCTTTAGCTACATATTAGGGCTTTTAAGCTATCTATATTTTAGCACGAAATGTCGATAGTTTTTTAAACAGTTGTAGTTTATGCACACTGTTCCAGACGTATGGAAATAAAATTTTGGTCAGATGGTAGATGAGCGTAGTAAGTTTTAACTATAAATAATAATATTTTATTATGATTATTATTATTATATATATATATATATATATATATATATATATATATATATATATATATATATATATATATATATATATATATATATATATATATATATATATATATATATATATATATATATATATATATATATATATATATATATATATATATATATGTCACGGCTGTTTCACGCAATGTAAAATTGGGCATTACGTCACGAGTTTAGCAAAAACAATTTCCGCATAAAGAGTTTTTTAAAAATTTCGTATAAAAATTCAATAACTTTAAAGTAGTGTTTTTTTTTTTCTATAAACGCTTTTGTGTTCTAATAAAAAAAAAATGAAACATCTATCTTTCCTTGTTAAATAAGTATTCTGATTAAACGGAATAAAAATTAAAGTTGTAAAAATTTTGCTAATGATTTGGGATCACTTTTCTGTTTTTTGCGTATTTTAATGAAAACCTGTCTTGGGCCAATCAAGATTAGATATTTTAAGCTACATGCTTTATGATTGAAATTTTACATACTTATAAACGAATGTCTATTTTATCAGATTTTTGGTGAACATGGATAAAAAAAAAAATTTAAGTTAGATTTTTTAGCTTTTATATTTTTGTTATTACTTGTTTTTTATGAAAAACGTTATATTTTTCCCAAGTTCACCAAAATATTGAAATTACAACCCTTTATGCATATGAAAATCACAATAATTACTTTCTGTACTTCTTACTAAAACGTTTTCAATCTTGACAAAGCTTGTTGCTTTTAGCAACAAAATTTGTAGTTACATGCGAAAAATTTTTGTTTACATTTTAAAGTAATGACGTAACTTTAAATGCGTTACTTCCCAATTCACTATAAAATAAAAATTATGAAAACAGCTTTTTTAGCGAGACAAATTTTAGTGTATAAATAAAACAAACTTTGGCGGGTTTTTTCTCTCGTGGCTAAAAAAAAAAAAATTTTTGTGATTTTTTTATTTCGTCTATTGTAGTGCCTGTATCAGTTTGCATTCAGTGTAAATAATGTTAATATGTTTTATAAATGGTCTAACTATGTTTATATTACATATTAGTCAACAGAAATATAATTTTTCCGATTATTTTTGCTAAAAAGTACCTTTAAAATTTTGAAATTCTGCCAAGTTCATCATTTTGCGCGTTTATTTAAAAATCGGAGCAGCCTTGGATTATTATATTGAATAATAAAATATAAAACATTTAGTCAGTGTTCATATTCCTTTTACAGAACGTATTTATCTTTAATATTTCAAAAGTTATGAAAGTTTTAGTAACACCCCCTAAGTAATTATTTTCAAAAAATAACAAGAAGCCGTATGTCCACTCTGAAACAGCCGTGATGTATATATGTATATATGTATATATATATATATATATGTATATATATATATATATATATATATATATATATATATATATGTATATATGTATATATGTATATATATATATATGTATATATATATATATATATATATATATATATATATATATATATGTATATATATATATATGTATATATATATATGTATATATGTATATATATATATATATATATATATATATATATATATATATGTATATATATATATATATGTATATATATATATGTAGGTACCCTCGTATGCGTCCGTTTTTTTATTTTGACATCGCTTTTATAAAGTTTCTGGATTTCCGTGTTTTTTCAAACTACGCTATATGCATAGAGGAAAGAGTGTTTAAAAGCTAGCTAAAAAATAAACTGTAAATTTTTATTATATTTTTTCGTTTAAAGTGAAGGTTAAACTTGTTTATAGTTATACAATTTTTAAAAAATTGCGATTTTTTCACTGTTAAGGAATCCTGCCAAAATAGGTAATTTTCATATAAAGAATTTAATATACCAATACAAATGCTCATAAATGATTTTGACATGCTCAAATAAATTCTTCATAGATCTTTCATTTGATATATAATAACCGATACTTTAAAATCTCCTTCATGTTTAAAAAAGATGCATACAGTTGCTACCGCAAAATAATGAATTGTTTATAGCGCCATTTTTTAAAATTATTTTCATTGTTGCTTTGTATATTTCTTTCCTTTAGATGGACCACAAGACTGCAAAAGATATTTGCGTTTTAATTAATTCATATAAATGCCAATCGAAGCCTTTGTTAAATGGTGACATTTACAAAATTTTTTCTGAAAATAATTTCAAATTATCAAAAACTTGTCTGAAATTAAAAAAACTGAACATTGGATCTCAAAATGCATCTGATTTTAAAATATTCTCCAACAATATAAGATACTTGCATAAAAAGATAAAAATCTTAAAAAAAAACCCTACCCAGTCATGGGCTGCTATTGTTAATTTTTTGCAGCAACCATTTAAATATGAAAGAAAAAGAAATAGTTCTAATACAAATATTCACTTAAACGTTGCAAGTGATTTAAACATTGCTTCAGACACAATGCAGAGAGTAAAGTGTGGTTCATGCAAAATAAAAAAAGATGAAATACGTAGTACACAACACAGAACTGCAAGAAACACCTCACTCATCCACAGTAAATCGAATGGCATATGAGCCAGGTGTTTTAGCATTGGTTCAGGCTGGTGAGGCACTTTTTCATTGTGAATGTGCAACAGTAGTGTTTGATGCAACCACCGTTTTAGACAAACATGTAAATGAGTTCCTTATCAGTACTTATCCTCCGCAGAGATGTTATTCCTTATCAACCGCTAAACTTGCTGGAGGCACAGGATTTGACTGTGCCACTCATATTGTCAGTGTAATAAAAGAACTTGCCAATACATTTGCAGAGTTTAAAAATATGCCAGCAGTAGAAGTTTTAGATGTTTTCACTCAAAAAATTAAAAGTTGTCTGTCAGACAGAGCACCTGTTAATAGTTGTGTGAAAAACATGCTTTAGGAGGAGATGGACATTCAATTAATGCAACTGTACTGCAATGTTCATCCATTGGAAACTATTGCCTTAAAAGCATTATTAGCTCTTAAAACAATAGATAATGAGTTGAATATAAAACCAGCTAAAGGAACTGATGGGGTTGCAGTAACAGTCCTCAAAAATATTTCTAAGCTAAGGTAATCTTTTATATGTATATCTTTCATTATTTAAATTTTTTTTTAGTTTTATTTTCTTGTGAGCAATTCTTTATTATTTCCACGTTTTGAAAATTTGAAATTTTAATTTTTTTGCTCTTTAAAAATCAGGTATAGTTTTAAAGGCGATCCTGCAGCATTCAAAAGCTATCTTAAAAAAAACAATGTTGCTCCAGGGCTATTCCTTAGATATGTTGGTAGTAGATTTCATGTTTTGTTCCATATGGCAGGGATTGTTGTTACATACGAAAGACTTATAAAAACCTTTATTGAAAAGTAAGTTTTTTTTAGATGAATATTTGTTTTAATAGAATTCTATGTATTAACATTTTCTCGTTATTCTAGCAACACCAAAAATAAAATTTGCCAACTCTTACTTCAAGATATGAGTAATGATATAACGCTTGTGCAACTGCAAGGGTTGGGCCTGATAGGAAAAATAATAACTGAGCCATGGATGAGTCTGGTTTATAAAAATGCAACAGGAAAAAGTAATCTTGAGTTTGTAAGTTTTTAAGGTTTTTTAATAAACAAATAAAGTAGTTTAAAAAATGTAAAAAAATACTTTTTTTACTAGGGTGACATTTTCCAGAAAGCAATAAGGAAATCAGCTTACTTCAAAAGTAATCCAGAATCAATTCTTTATACAGATGTGGATATTTTTAGTCAAGTATTAAGTATCAAAAAAGATAAGGTACACCAATCCCTTCGTGTAATAAAAAATAAAAATATTTTGGTAAAGATTTTATCAGCTTTGATAAGCTGCACAGAGACAGTTCTCAAAAGACAGATGGCCAGGTATTTGACTGGCAATCTCTCAAATCCATCTAAAGAAATGATAAAAACCACACTATCTGCTCCACCTCATACAATGGAGGCTGAAAGGATCTTGGGCATGCTTGATTTTTTTTTGCGTCATGCTCCTAATGCTACTTTTGGTTTTCTGGATTCTAAAATAAAAGCTAGGGTAAACAAAACATTAACATGGCTTGATGAGAAAACATTGCCAGAACAAGAAGATCTTATTCAATTTGTAATTCGCAGAGGAGCTTTAATGTGCCAAGCCTCTAAAAATTTTAATAATCTTTTGTATGAAGAAATAGGAAAAAGATGCGCCAAAGCTAATTTAAAAAAAGAGCGTCTGGAAAGAAAGTAACTAGAGAAGGATATTAAAAGAGCAATAGCTGAAAATGCCAAAACCATAAATCCTCTTTTTGTTAATATTGATGAAAAACAAAAACGAATTTTAGGAGTAATTTTGAAAAATGGAAACTTGATAGGGCAGCTCTTAAGCCATAAATGGAAGCTAGATGATGGTAATATACATTTATTTTTTGGTAGAATTGTTGATCAAAAGGTAGCAACAAAATAAAAATCTATTACATACACAATAGGATATTGGAAAGTCAATGAAGATGAAGCTGAAGATATTGACATAAGCCAGGAAGGAGTTATAGCAGATCTAATACTTAAAGGCTTGGAGTTCATTTAAAAATTACTATAATATATTAGGCATTATTATCTTTTATTTTGTTTATGTTGATTATTTTGTATACATTTTTATTTATTCCTTTTCGTTTTTAAATATTTTTATATTAACCAAGAGCAGACACAGGGTTATTTTACATTTCAGATACTGTACTTGGCATTGTGAAAACTCTAAGTATAAGTATGTTCAATCATATGTCAAATAAGAATGATTTGCTAAAAAATTGTGGTAATTAAAACTTAGGAACAAAACTATCTAAAAAAGATAGAACCCCCCTGTCTCAAATGTTAATTTAATGAGTAAATAAGTTTTTAAGTTTATTATCCAAAACTAAATTTAAATTCACATTTTTTAATGCTCAAAGGTTATGACCATGTGAAATAACTTAAAAAAAATAACTTTAAACATATCAAGAATTATTGGGTCTGTTGATGGATTTAAATGTAGTATAAAATAATAAGTAAAAGTATTTTAATAACTTGGTCCCCTCACATTTTTATGTGGGGTACAAACTTTTTGGGGTATTTTTGTTCCTAGGCTCCAATCACTTCAATTTTTTATACAATTTTTTTACACATTCTCATTAGATTTAAGCATGAACAAACTTAAATTTAGATTAGTTATGGTAATTTTTTTAATAAAATGACTAGAATCGAATTTGACCCCCTTTTAAAATAGGCTTAAACACCCCCCCCCTCCTCTCTTTTTTTTTTTTTTTAAATTTATTTTATATAAGTGGGATATAATAAACAGTTTTTATCATATATGTGACAGTAAATTGTTAATATTTTATGAACTATGTTATAAAGTCCACTTTTTGAAGTCATTTTCTTGTGTATCTTTGTTAAGATGTCCACTTTATTTTCTCTGCCTTCAAAATTGAATATCTTTTTTTATAGTTGACCCCAGATAATAAATTTGGTATAAAAATTTGTCATTTAATATTCTCTATATAATAGAATTAATTTGGTTTAAAAAATAAAAGTTTAAATTTTTTATGAAGGTACCTATATATATGTATATATGTATATATATATGTATATATATATATGTATATATGTATATATATATATATGTATATATATATATATGTATATATGTATATATATATATATATATATATATATATATATATATATATATATATATATACATATATACATATATATATATACATATATATATATATACATATATATATACATATATATATATACATATATATATATATATATATATATATATATATATATATATATATATATATATATACATATATATATATATATATATATATATATATATATATATATATATATATACATATATATATATATATATATACATATATATATATACATATATACATATATATATATATATATATATATATATATATATATATATATATATATATATATATATATACATATACATATATATATACATATATATATATATATATATATATATATATATATATATATATATATATATATATATATATATATATATATATATATATATATATATATATATATATATATATATATATATATATATATATATATATATATAAATGTATATATAAATTTTTTTTTTTTTGTAAATCATAATGAGATGTAGATTTTTTAATTTATGAGATGTAGATGATAATTTTTAGATAGATTAGAACATTTACAAAATTTTACCCTAATTAATGTGATGATTTTGAACATAAAAAAATAATTTATGTATGCCTATAATGTATAACTGTTTTTAATAAGTACTTAATATTAGTTTTATTACCTTTATTGTTATTTTTTTTTTAATTTAAAAAAAAATTATCAATTTTTTTTTCTAAATTATTTTTTGTATTTTTTAATTAATTATAGAAGAGAAACAAAAAGAAATAAATACTTATATTCTTTGCCGACTGTTTCCTTGCCATTTTTTATACATGAAAAAAGATTAGCACAAAATCACAAATACTTTTTCCAAACATTAAAAGATTACGTTTGTGGAAAAATTTTTAACAAATCCAGGTTATTTATTTCTGATTGTGAGTTTGAAGGCTCTCAATATTTTGATAACACAAAAAGTTTGGTGTGTTGGAACCATTTATTACAAAATGTTAAGGAATGGATGAGAAAGAATGGTAAATTTTCATCATCAGAGTATGATGAAGCTGTAAAAGCCATGAAATACATTCTTTGATCAAAAACTATTTTTAAATACGAGTCAAGACTTAAAAGTCTAACACAAGGAAGTATCAAGCCTTGGAATGATCAAAAATTTCAAAAAAGCTACATTCAATACATGCACTCTGATGTTATTTTTCATGCTGCTGCATTTGTTTCAGCAGAAGAAGGGATAAAGTACCCAAACTTTGGAATTACCAATAATGCATCAGAGTCATTAAATAAAGTTGTTAAGGATCTTATTGATAACAAAATAACAAAAATGGACTCTTGCATTTTGGCCATGAATTATCTCAGTGCCTATTTTCATAGAGAAGTTGAAAATTGGATACTATAATGTTGGTTTGTATCAGTTGAGTGATGAGTTTTCCTTTATGTTAAGATCAAGAGATGAACTTAGCGCTAATAAAATCATCCTACCAGATGACATAATAAAGCATATAAAAGAAACTGAAGTACATCACAAAGATCATACCAATATATCTTCTCCTTACACTTTCATGGAGATGTTAGTTGAAAAACCAATTAAAAATGAACTTCCAAAACTTGTTTATTCAATATCCTTATTACCAAAGGATATATTAAATAAAAATGGAGTTGTATTTGTTCCTCAACATCAAAGTTGGTCAGTGAAAGAATCAGAAACAATTATTCATTCTGTCAATTTGAATCCACCTGCACATTGTACTTGCAGTGCTTCAAAAAGTTGTGTTCACATATTAGCTGTTCAATATCTCTCTGGAAATGTAAATAGTTTAGAACACTTTAAAGGGAAAAAACGAAATTTAACTTCACTTATACAAAAAAAAAAGCCTAAAGTTGAGAGAAAATCAGGCAAAAAAAAACCGAGGAAATTTGATATTGATTCAAATTTAAAAACATTGAATTTTTGTGAACTTGCAGATCCAAAAAATGAAAATGTCAGTTTAGAAAAAAATAAGCAATCTACAGTGCCTGAAATAAAACATCCTATTCCAAAAAGACTTCAGTGGGGTGTTGGTTTGGTTTTAAACAGTTGCACAATTGACAATGCTTTAACAATGTTAAAGTTGCGTTGCCATGCAGATGAATACTTTTTAAGTCACATAGGTATTTCAGAAGCAGAAATAGAGCTTAAAAAAGCAATGAGGTATTTAAACAATGGCGATGACAATTATGGTAAAGAAGTTTAGGCATGTTTTTTAAAAAGCAAAATACAAATTACAAGTTCGCCTTGTTTTAATTTATATGGATCATCAAAATAATTATTTTTCAATCACTTTAAAGAAGCATTTACATTCCAGAGTGTTGGAAAATGTTTAACATGTTTAAGTCATTCTTTTCATCCGTTTGATTTTATAGAACTACCTCCAAACCATGACCCAACAGATTATTTGCTAGGTTATTTAAAAGACAAAAGACTGCTTCTAAACTGTCCAGTTTGTGGCAATAAAGAATTAAATCACTGTGGTACAACATTAAAATCTCAAAATACTTGTGATGATTGTGATTGAGTGTTATATTTCTAAGATTTCAGTTTCTTTGCTAATGAAATTGCCAAAAAAAATTGTTATTGAAAAATATTATTTTTCTTTGGCATGCATAACTCTTGGATTTAATGCTCACTTCACATCTTTGCACAACATGAAAAATCAATGGTTTTTTTATGATGGTATGCAAAAAAATGGAAAATTAACCAAGGCGATACAATCTAATTGGCTAAATAAAGTTGCAAACCATATCATTTATCTTATTGATTAATGCTTTTTGAACAGATGTAAATTGCACTGTGAAGTTTTTTATTTTAGATTTTAACCTTCAGGTTTTATTTTTTACTTATTATAGTAAAAATATTATAACATGATATATTGATGTTTTATAATAAACAAGTTATGTTTTATATTTATTCGGGTAACTTCGATTATTTATATGTAGCTTTTTAAACACTTACAGCCAGTGAGTTTGCCAAAAATTTGAAAGAAGTTTTAGTAAAAGTTTTTCTAGTGTTAGAGATTTTTTAAACCCATTTGTTTTTATATAGTGTTTAGTTTTGAATACTTTTAGTAATGGTACAAAAAGAAACTGTTTTTAAAGTTGTTGTTTTTTTATTAATGAATCTGCTGCATTACATATAACACACAGATATATATATACCGGTCCAATTTGCCGACTAAGGGTCCAGTTTGCCGACTAAAAATCATTGATGGGGGGTGTCACACACCCCTATCGCGCCGGCCTTTTATATATATATATGTATAGTATTTATGTATATGTATATATATATATATATGTATAAATATAAATATATATATATATATATATACACATATATTTATATATATATATATGTGTGTGTGTGTGTGTGTGTGTGTGTGTCTGTGTGTGTGTGTGTGTGTGTGTGTACCTTTGAGTATGAGTGTTTGTGAAAACGCTGGCAACCAGCTTGTATGGCAAAATATAAGTCACATTAACCAAAGTTTCAGGAAAACATCCTTTAAGGTTTTTTTTTATTGATAGATTTAAAAAAATAAATTATTTTTAAATGTATTTTAGCCTATGCTGTTGTATCTTTAAAGTTGTGTGAGAGGTATTTAGACGTTAAAGTACTTGCTCACAAACTAATCTGGCTTTAGTCAATATACAACAAGAATTAATACTAAAAATAACTTTCAGAAGATTACCAATACTTTTTTCCTGCCATCTTTAAAATGTTTGAAAAATTAATTTACTGTGGAAGAGTGAAATAAAAATGTTATTTAAGAAGAATTTTTACTACTTTATTCTAAAGTGTTACTTTATAAGGCATAAAATTGGCAGTAATTTTTGTTTGACAATTGCTGTTTTCACAATTTTTTTTAAACTCAATCACTTTTGATTCAATTCAATTTATTAAAAAGTAGAAAACAGTTTTAGTCTTCAACGGTTGAAATTATTTTTTAAACTTCAATTCGTTGAAGAAACTGGTTGTCATTGCTCTAGCATAAATTGAGATCAATCACGATCGACCTGATGAAAGATGGGTTATTTATATATGTGATAATTAATAAAAGACAATTAGTTTTTAAATGATCAAATTTTAAATGCCTTTATTATATGGCTGGTTATGTTTTATATTTTGTGCATAGTTAATATCAGTCTCTTTGTTCCAAAATTAAAAATTATGTTTTGCATAGTAAATTGGGTTTTCTTACTCTTTTGCAGTTCATTCGTTTTTTTTAAATATTATTTTGTAAAATTTATTGTCTCTCTAATATAATATGAATATGCAGCCAATATTTTTTTAATTCGCATTTTATATTTTTTATAAATGATAGAGCTTAAATATATTTATTGATTATTATATTATTGTTTAATAACTTAATTGTTTTACTTTTTTTCCCGTCGATCCTGTCCTCGCCACTACATAAAATAAGTGACTACATAAAAATAAATGTATGGTTTTAGTAATCCCTGATGTGGCAGTATAACTCTTACTTGTTTAGGTTATTTGAGCAAGGAATTTTCTCTAAAAAATCACCTAAACATGATAAAAATGCATGTTTTATAGATACAAAAAATCAAAAAATTGATATCTAAATATTAACTTAGAAAAATGCTTGATGTATAAGGGAATCAAATATTTGTTAGTATATTATCTAAAAATGATAACATTTGTTATTGCTTTTAGATAAAATGAAAATAAATTTTTATTTAACGTGGCTTTTAATTAATAGAAGCCGTGACACAGTGATAAGAATTATATAACTCAGAACGAGGAGGTTTTATTCCGGCTCTAGCCCAATAACCGTTATTAAAAGGGAAGAAAACTTTAGATAAATGCTCCTCCGCTGTGTTCTGTAATA